ACCGAATTTACCAAAATAATAATATTGAACGTAGAAAGTAGAACGGTTTGGACAGATTTTATTATTTTTTGCTAATCTCCAAGATTCAAGCATCAAAACACGATTTTGTCACCAGCACAACTGACCAGGACAAAATGTTTGATGGTTATGTTTGAATGCGTTATTACATATGTATATTTCCATTTCTATTCCGTTGTTAATCTTACAATTTTCGTGATAATATTGCAAAGTCTCATGGATTGCTTGATTCAATGTATATTATGGAATTTTAATTGTGCGTAATGAACTTAGAGCATTTACGATTTTTTATTCTGAAATGACAGCGGAAAGTCGAAGGCCCGTACTTCAGGAGCGCACTTCAGCTATGCATTCACGACTGCAAAAATGTCAAAGGAAATCGACAAGCTCAGCGTGCATGAAGGCTATTTCAATTGTAATCTTCCGCCGCATTTCTAAGGCGCAATGATACAACTATTTGAACTCTCCGGAATGCGTGAGGTATCACGCCGCATTTGAAGGCGTTTTCAAAACAGCCAAGTTCCGATACCCGGATTATCGTTTTGCAAATTTCTTATTATTATGTTTTATTCCGTCCCCTTTGTTTATTTTTAATTTTCGCATAAAAACCACCCATTTGCTAAATACAATTCTAGCTGGAGCGCACTTCAGCTATGCATTTACGACTGCAAAAATGTCAAAGGAAATCGACAAGACCAGCGTGCATGAAGGCTATTTCAATTGTAATCTTCCGCCGCATTTCTAAGGCGCAATGATACAACTATTTGAACTCTCCGGAATGCGTGAGGTATCACGCCGCAATTGAAGGCGTTTTCAAAACAGCCAAGTTCTGATACCCGGATTATCGTTTTGCAAAGTTCTTATTATTATGTTTTATTCCGTTTGCAAAAATGTCAAAGGAAATCGACAAGGCCAGCGTGCATGAAGACGATTTCAATTTTGATGCTCCGTCGCATTCCGAAGGCGCAATGATACAACTATTTGAACTCTCCGGAATGCGTGAGGTGTCACGCCGCAATTGAAGGCGTTTTCAAAACAGCCAAGTTTTGATATCAGGTCAGTAGTTTTGTAAGAAATTGGAGCACAAAATCATTAGAATGACTGATTTTACGAGCTTATGCAACTTAATAAATTTGTGTTTCATTTGACTGAAGCGTTAGAAAACAGTTCGGTCAGAAATTTAAATTAACCTACGGCCCATTACAAACTTGGTATAACAGGAGCCAGGACCCAAAGCTTGCAGAAAATATGCCTTACGTCAATGATTGCTTCAGGATCATCGAATCGGATCACTGGTGGATTGAACTGATAGAAACGAATTAATGATAATATGGATGAAAGGAAGCCAACGTCTGTTGGCTCTCACAAAATCTCAGTCAAAGCGTTGAAAAAAATCTAGTGAATGTTTCTTCTCAGCTTTTTTTTTTTTTTTTNTTTTTTTTTTTTTTTTTTTTTTTTTTTTTTTTTTTTTTTTTTTTTTAATCTATGTATTTACTCAGGTAGGTGTGTGTGTTCCCAAACAACCCTTAGAAAAAAGATTACCGAAAATTTTGTAAAGCCAAAAGCCTGATGAATCTCTCCCTGGAAAAAGTGAACCACTTATTGATGCCGCCGCAGTGGATTTCATGAGGCTTCAAAAATATCGGGAGGCGACCTGAGAAATTTTTACGACTTCGACGGGAGCGAGACCTAGGAGTGAAGAACCTGGCAACGCAACAAAGAGAACGCCGATCTATACCTACGTAAACGAAACCTTTCTTATTTTTTTTTTTTTTTAAAGAATAATGAGGAATTTCAAAGGTTCGAATCTGATCGAATTTGGCAAATCCTATAATGCATCGCTACACTCGTAAATAGATAAAATGAGAATCGGCCTGATGAATACCCTGATCTCCCCGATAAATACCCTGAAGGCCCGTAGTGACTCTTATTCCCGTGCGATAGCGTTTTAAATTTTTTGAGCAATTGGGTGGGGAAAGACAGAGTATCTATTTAATCCGTAATTAGCAAGTATATTATAAATATGCAATAAACAACAGCCTCCAGCTCTGCATTTAATAATTTCATCGAGTTTGAACTTATTTGCTTTAAATTTTGCCTGATTATACCCTATGTGGACGTATTTCTACTGAACGGAACTATTTGCACTAAGACAAGAGCCCTGAGACCCATAAGAATATATGCATAACAGGACTCACGTCATAGGCAGAAATACGTCCACGTACAACACATGCAAAGTCTCCCATGTTTCTCGGCACAAAGCTTAAAATATTTTGCAGCATTTTTAATTAAAAGTGAGTAAATAGATTTTTAATTATGGCAATTATTGTGGACCTTTGGAGAAGCTTTTACTTTATAATTGCCATATATTTAAATACAGTGGACCAGCAGATGTAGGTGCGCGGTGTCTTCATTTCAAGAAAGTTGTACGAGGGTGGATTTGCAAGGATTTTTAGAATTAGTCTAAAGTCGAAGCACATGCATATCCTGCAATCAAATTAAGAGACACCGCAAGGCAAAGTGCACAGATTTTCTCTTCGAAAATGTTTCGCATGAGACAAAACTAGAACACAGTAATTGACTCGTCTCGCCCTTGATTATCACGACAGCACTGCCGTGCTAAGGAAAAACGTCGCATGAACCTCCAGGCGTCGCCAAATTTCCTCTGGCAAATCACGAATTTTCCGGAAAATTCACAAATATTTTCCCTCCAATTTTTCCAATAATTTTGTTCGCAATTTCACCTCAAGTCCCTGAAAATTTCAAGGAAAAATACGCATAGCTTTCCTCAAAAATAAACATTTTATCGAAGGAAATCTGGCAACTCTCGATTGTTCATACGGCGTTCTTCCTTAGCTCGGCGGAGTAATCCAATCATTTCACCGTTTAGAGAGAATTTGAATCGTGCGTCCTTCACAGGCGGCAGAGAGCATCGGCGCTATAAACATTTGCATGAGTCGCGAATAGGTTTTCACGACAGGGTAAGCGCTCTCAGGATGCTTCGCCCTTGAAAGTCGCTGATAACTGGTTGGGCAATCCGCGACCGAACTATCGAAGAAATCTTTCGAAATGTACGAGATGCTATTCTGACCGGGCAATTTAAGTCACTCCGATGACGGCCGCGGAGGGGCGCTCGCGTATCTGCCGCGCTTTTTCCCTATACGTCCCGTCCGCATTCATACTGCCGTGCTAAGGAAAAACGCCGTATGAACCATTAGGCGTTGCCAAATTTCGTTTGATAAAACGCGAATTTTCCACTAAATTAATGAATATTTTCCTCCAAATTTTTCAGATAGTTTAGTACTCTAGTTCTCTTTCAGATAGTTAGTCTCTGAGTCTACGGAAAGTCAGGAGTGCGAGAATCTCTTTCACATCTCAATAGTCTTCCAGTGTCCCCAAATATGAGTTTTGACCGGGCGGTTTTGAACGTTTTCCCGGCAGGTTATTGACAAATCATTCCGTCAAGTTCGGGGCTGAAAGTATTTTTGTATTAAGAAATAATATTTCAACCCCCTATTGCTGTTTGCAAATGGACAAAACTGCTCGTAATGTGTTTTTGAGGGCAATAATACACTGCCGTGTTAAGGAAGAACGCTGTATGGACCTTCAGCCGTTGCCAAATTTCGTTTGATAAAACGCGAATTTCCTAGTAAATTAATGAATATTTTCCTCCAAATTTTTCGGATGGTTTAGTTTGCAATTTTACCTAAAGATTCTGAAAATTTAAAGGAAAACTTTTCATAACTTTTCTAAAAAATAAACATTTTATCGAAGGAAATTTGGCAACTCTCGAATGTTCATACGGCGTTCTCCCTTAGCACGGCAGTTTGGGTAATCGTTGTTCGCATTCCAGTATGTGCATCGATGTGATTTACGCGATCTGGCAATGTGGGTTGATGACGCGTTGATGAAGTAGCTCTTGATAGAAATTATAGGGTTCAGCGAGAACTGAAGTCCCTCTCGGGGCGACTGCATCGCACCTCGGCTCGGCGTGTAATTGGTCAATTTATTTTGACGACCGAAAGGCCAGTGGTCTTTGCCTCAACCGCGCTCCGTCGACTGATGAACACATTATTGAAAATGAACCAAGGTCTTTATTGGCAGTTTGGCTTTGTCAACTTATTAAATTTCAATGGACTAAATGATGCTATAAATCTGTGATATGTATTTATGAGGGTAAACATGCCTGAGGGCTGTTTTTGCCACGTCGGCTCGAAAAATCGGAAATTTACGTTCCCATGGAGGAATTTCTTTATACTGCCCTGCTAAGGAAAAATGTCGTATAAACATTCGAGAGCGCCTTTTCTTTTGGTAAAATGTTTATTTTCGAAGAAACTTATGAATATTTCCCCTCAAATTTTTCAGGAACTCTAGGTGACATTGCAAACAAAATTTTCTGAAAAATATTCATGAGTTTACCGGGAAATTCGTGTTTTACCGAGGAAATTTAGCAACGGCTGAAGGTCCACACGGTGTTCTTTCTTAACACGGCAGTATAATGTCCTTAAAAACATGTTACGAGCAGTTTCGTCCATTTGTAAGCAGCAACAAGGGGTTGAAATAAAATTTCTTAAACCAAAAAAACTTTCAGCCCTGAACTAGACAGAATGACTTGTCGACAACCTGCCGAGAAAACGTTCAAAACTGTCCGGTTAAAACTCATATTTGGTAGCATTGGAAGATTAACGAGATGTGAGAGAGATCCTCGCACTCCTGACTTCCCGTAGACTCAGAGACTAAAACGCAGGAGTAGAAAAGGTGGATGGGCTCTCGGGAGGTTGGACCGCGTATAGCGGTCAGGGGGCGTAGCCCCCTAGTCGTCATGAAAAAATCAAAGAATGATAGAAAAAAAAACTAGACATCATTATTTAAATGCCCTCCGCATTATCAATGATTAAGAAAATCACACGCCTCTAATCGAGTGTTCACGTGAAAACGCAGTATACTTAAACTCTAATAATAGCATCCGATTGATTACCCACCTAAACTCTCGTTGACTCCAGTTATAACCCAATCCGTGGAACTGCACAAGATGCCATGCATAACCAAGACAACCGGTCTCTTCCTTGGCGTCTCATCCTCTATCCTGCCGTGCGGAATCCGGTGCAGCGTCAGAATATATCCATCGTCGGTGATAACAAAGTGAGTCTCCGCTGGGTACCCCTCATTTAACACTGCCTCGTCCTGCAACAATGACAACTTGATTAGCGTCCATTCGTGATTAGATCGGATGGGGAAAAAAGCAATCAGATACCTAATTCAGATCGACATCGAGATTTTCTTAAGGTAGTCCGGGACCGGTCTTAACGAAGTTTCAAGCCAATTATAACTGACAGAATTCTTAAGTTGGGGAGTTTTACGATTTTAGCTGAAATTTTGACGGCATCTAGTGGAAAAGTTCCTGATTAGAAATTCAAAACATTGATAAATGGTGAAGATAAAATACACGGACGTCAAATTATCTGATATTTGAATAGTTTTTTGATATGAATGTTGCGTTTACCAAGCAAGTATTTACGCCAGGATAAAAACACTGCTCGGCTTCGTTCAAGAAAAATGGGGTTTCAACCCTAAATTCTATCGCAAATACATTTTTCAACTATCACTGTGTTTATATTTTTTATCAGTTTACAACAATTCATTGCTTTTGATCGGATAATTTTTTCTATGTCTACACAGGGCCAAACCCTACTTGCCGCCCATAGGCCTCCTATATTTTGCCGCCTCCTTGTTGTTTGTTCATTCGTTTTGAACATCAATAGAAACCATCAAGTGAACGTACCAGCGGGGGTGGGGTGCATAAGACGCGTTTACTCGTGTTGGAAACATTTTTTGGGAAAGCCCTGTCAACACTACTAGCAAAAATTCACCGAACTTTGCGCGAACGTTAAGTTTCGTAAACCTATCTTTGCGTGGACAAGGCCTTCCACTCATAAGAAATGAACAAAACAATTATGAGAGAACAAACATAAATGTGGTTTAATGATTTTAACTTCCGCCGCAGCCTCGCGCAGACCGCACCGTGTTTGGAGCAATGCGTGAAGTATTCACGCAGTCTTGTAGGCGCTATGCGTTTCACGCTGACCGCAATGACCGTACTGTGTTTGATGCAATGCGTGAAGTATTCGTGCAGTCTTATAGACGTTCATTTGTGTTACATGCCGATTGCCGCACCGAGGGCTCCTCCTTTTCATCTCAAGTCCTCGTCATTATTTCTCTCTCAGTCACGCCGTTCCTGGCCAAATTGCGTGCTTGGTCTCTCTGAACTCGATTAATTAAAGGTGCTGTCTCTTGTATCACCGAAAGACGACAAAATTAGAAATTACTATATTCTCAGGAAATGAGAGATTTTGTTTGTATTTTTTTATACCTACACTTAAAAAAATTGCAAAATTTGTCCTAGATTTGCCGCCATGAGTCTCAAAAACTGCGTTAACGCAGATATTAAAGCGGTTATTAAACGCAGTTAGAGTAAAAATTAAAAAAAAAAAAAAAATTATCAAGAGCTGGTTTCAGATGAAAATCTTTAAAGTAGGAGCAATACTAACGACAGCTGATAAACGTTTTTCATCCTTGTGCAAGTAAATTTTAATTTCATGAAGGAACAAATTTTACACATCCGATTCCACTATTCTTGCTGGAATGCTTACATACCGATAAAAAAAGTTGAAGGATTAGTAATAGAGGTAGGGCTGAGGCAAAGAGCTTTTATTTTCGAACATCTTTCTGAAACTGTTTCTGTCCTTCGATCCTTTTCATTTGTAACTTATGCAATGGAGAAATACTACTCACTGGGAGGTTATAGCTGGGAGACTTGAACGCTTGGACTAAGAAGATACACCAGCGTTTTCATGTTCTGTGGTTAAGTCATTGCTAATTACCATCTCGCTACTGCAGTGAAACTGTTGTGGTGATTCCTTGTGCTGTACATTAACTTTGTCGAGGCATGTAAGGAGTCACTGATGAAAAATTGAATCAAGGTGGTGTTGCCAAGTCTAACATATAATATATTGAGTATCGTATGTTGAGTATGCTCAAACCTGTTTATTACGTGCGTCAAATGCAAACTAAAATCGCTTTCGTAAGCATTGGATTTTTTGGGGGGAGATTGCAGTAAATGCATCGAAATTTGTAGATCAAAAATTACCTCCACAAATTAAAGGTTATTTCCCATTTTATTTTCCCTGCGCTAATTTTGTATACCATTGACTATAAAGTACTTCCCACGCATGTTATTTGCCTGCCCTTGGTTAAAAGTAAATATAACACGTGGAAGATACGTTTTTTCAGCCCACAAACTACTTATTTAAGAAGACTAAATGACAGGAAGGATGTCATGAACTATTCACAAACTCAACAATTATGTGCTTCATTTTAGTGGTCCATCAACTGACATTTTGGTGGTTAATTCATCAACAATAATCGACTGCATCTCAACAATAATGGATTTTCAGGCCATTGATTGACATGTTAACGAAACGGAAATTTTCGTCTTAATTCAACTATTAATTGTTCAGACAGTAAAGACAATGGACCCGCTAAATGTTTCTCTTCAAAGCTTTATAGCACGAACAAATAGTCACAATGGTTTGTGTCCATCCTTTGGAAACCAGTCCCAGACTATGGAGATAATCATTTCAGAGAACGAATTATCTTAAGTGGGTTAAAACATTCGGTTTTCGAGTTTTCAATAAAAACCCTATTTAAATACCATCCAAAAATAAATTGCGATCGCTTTAGTTCATTTTTGTACCATTAAAGAGTGTAAAATTCATTCCGTATTATTAAGCCACAATTATGTCAGAGTAAAGTTTTAGATTGGCTCTTTTCAAAACTATAAACTTATAGGAATTTTTGAACTTCAAATTTTAAATCGCTATTACTCTCGCGACATTTTTAGACTAGTGTATTCGCAAAATATTCGTACATGCAGTGCTGACAATGAATATGTTTTGAGTACTCGTAGTTTGGTGCAAAAGAATTTTTTTCCGCGAATGGCGGTCTCTCATAAATGTCAGAGAAATATTCTCAACAGGTGTATATACAAATTCGATAAAATTTGATTATCACACACCAGAATTGAAAACCCTCTTCGTAAATTTTGGTGAGCGGTTTGTACCATCAAAGAATAATGTATCATGCCTCGAATTATTTTTGGCACTGTGGTGGCAATTTTGTAGATGATCATCATCAATTGTGGTTTTTTTTGGTATGATTATCAGACTCATTATTGTAAACATGCTACATAATTAACGAGTATTCCAACTTATTGCGATCATTTAAGGTTTTTCCAGTGCAGCATGATTGATGCGTTTCTTTTGAATTTAACTCATTTACGAATAATTTCCAATTTCTTGATTTAGCGTAAAATATGGAAACGGAATATACGGCAACGGAGCTATACCCGAGACACAGGTCCCTCTTTCAGCTTGCTTACAATTCGGCAGCCACAAATCACGTCCTCTCCTCTCAGCAATTGCCCTTTGTTTCATATCCTAGTACCCTTGAGCCATTTTAAGCCGTTATCTAATGTAATTTGAATTGATAAACTGAAGAATGATGCTGTCCTCGGCTAACTTCTCTTTTGAGGTCCTTCTTTTCAATTTATCATTTTCAAATATCGTCGGCCCCCTGCAATTTTTTTTAATTTCTTGCTCTCCTCATACCAAATGTTAAGTTCGTTCAGACCGTATAGGCGGCTGGTACCTTAGCAGTGTGAACGTATTGTGCATTTCAAGAAAGAATACTATTTATTTATTGAACGAAAATCAATATTATTTTTTTAAGGTATACATGACTATATTTTCCTCTAAAGTTACGGTTTCAACTCTGACTCCCTCTCAAACCCCACAAAAAAGAAATAATTAAACTCCTATTCTTTTTTTAATCATGTCTTTTCAACTATCAAGTTCATAAATTACGTAACGCTCGAAATCGAAGAGAGCCATGTGTTTTTACGTTAAAGGATAGGGATCTACGTCAGATAAGCGTCATAAGGGGAAGAGGGGCCTAAAAATGTCGGTAAATTGCGCTATCAAATTTATCAACACTCACTGAAATGAAAAGTCGCTCCTGCAACGCACTCGAGCATTCTGCTACACCCAAACCCCACATATGCGTATCTTCCCGAAGGTATCGGGCAACTGACAACGGATCCCTTCATCACCGCCCTGCCGCCGTCCTTTCATGAGATGTCCCCCAGCATACTGCCGTAGTGAGGGAAAACGCCGTATGAGCCATCAGGCGTTGCCAAATTTCCTTTGTATAAACTTGAATTTCCTAGTAAACTTGTGAATATATCCCTCTAGATTATTCAGACAATTTTGTTCGCAATTTCTTCATACATTTCTAAAAATTTCAAGGAGAAATATTCATGCCATCACTCAGAAATAAACATTTTATCAAAGGACATTTGGCGACTCTCGAATGTTTATGCGGCGTTCTTCCTTATATAGCACGGTAGAATACGAGAGTAAACTAAAGAAAATTCGGCCATGAACGAAAAAGATATATTTCAATCGCTTGCGTGGTTCTAATAATGAAGCCGAGATCACCCACTCATTCATTTTCCTCATGACATACTTATAGGAATGGTTGCATTGATGCACCAATGACTCTTCTGTCGATGCAGTTAGGAGTTATTCACGTCGCGCAGTCGGGCACGTGGTGAGGCTCAATGGGAAATCGTGAAGGAGGGAAAGGGGCATTCTTNGGGGGGGGGGGGGGGGAGCCGTAGGCATCGGCTTGGTGCTGGTGATGCACCGTCACTCAAAGTCATCAGCGATGAACTTGGATTAGGTCCGAGGTCCGAGGCGCACTGTGTGAATTTCCGATTTCGCGCTCCGCTGATTCGATATTCGAAACGCATCCGCCAAGGGCGCCGCTCCCCGTTCCGGCTAGGTCGCGAGCCTCTATTGCTATTCACGGTCTTTCGGGTGCCGCCCGACCATCGGGATCCGATTTTCCATGATAAAACCGAGAAAAAATGAGTCCAAAGCGACTGTAGATTATGATCGGCGGAGGAAGATGCTGCAATGGAGCGTTTGCAAAAAGAAATAAAAAATTTAAAAAAAAAAAAAACATAATTAACAATGTTTATCATAAAAAAACTTGACGTTTACTTTACAATCTGATTTGAAAAATATTCATCCTCCGGAGAGAACTGTTAATTACGAGTACGCAAT